CCAACCTGCTTGGAACTGAGTCTGGGACAGCCTTTAATTCTCCCATCACAAAAAAATAAACAAGCCGCAAAGTATCCATAAGAGCCAGTCTCTGATCAGTGTTCAGAAAGGCATCTGAAAAGCAGCAGCAAACCAGGAACTGGAGGTCTATAAATTCATTCCTCAGGCCCCTTGCACAAGTCCATCATGGGTCTCTTCCAGTAGACATTTTCTGCTCCTGGGAGAAAGAGGAAGCGCTTATCTCTGCCACTCCTCTTCAGTCTGAAGCTCCATCCTATTGTCTCATCTCCCCTAAGCATCATACTCTTCAAATGAAATGATTAAAGGAGTATTAATTTCATGGTATTATAGAAGGAGTCTTAGATTTGGGGTCAGAAGAGTCCAGTCTAGATCTCACCTCTGCCGTTTTCTATTTATGTGGCCTCAGATTCTTCATCTGTAAAAATTATTGCACTAAAAGAATGAATGAAAAGCCTGCTGTCCTTTGCTGTGCTAGAAGTCCAAAGAAGAGAAATTACATTAAAAGGAAAAAAGGCCAGCTATTTCCCTGCTCACTTTTATATACCAAGAAGGAAAGGGCAGTTCAACTGAGCAGTCTGCCTTTCCTGATTCTCTGTTGTCAGTAATCTAGGAGACAGTCCCAATCACTAGAGACCAATCAGAGGAGCTCCCTGTGTTCTCTCAAGAAGGACTAGAATACATATCTTTCTTTGAGTCTCAGTTGAATCACACCTTCGGCATCAGTCCATAGGCACCCATAGTGACTTCCATCTGAGATTATCTCCAATTTATCCTCTATACATCTTGTTAGTACGTAGCTGTTCACATAAGACTATAAGCTCCTTGAAAGCAAGAATTGTGTAAAATGAGCAGAACTGGGAGAACAGTGTATACAGTAATCCCAACATTGTATGATGGTCAATGGTGAATGACTTAGCTATTCTCCACATACTTAGCTATTCCCCAAGGCAATTCTGAAGGACTTATGTGAAAAATGCTATCCTCCAGAGAAATAACTGCTAGAGTCTGAATGCAGATGGAAGCATACTATTTGCACTTCATTTTTTCTTGGGGGTTTTTTGTCCATGTTTTCTATCATGACATGACCAACCATGGAAATATGTGTTGTATGACTACACGTGCAAAGCCTATATCAAATCGCTTGCCTTCTCAATGAAGGATAAGGAGAGAGAGGAGGGAGAGAATTTGGAACTCAAATTTTTTAAAATAAGTGTTAAAATTGTTTTTACATGTAATTGGTGAAAAATAGAATATTAAATTAAAAAAAAGAAAACAAGAACTGTTTGTTGTTGTTTGTTGGAGGGGAAGGGTTTGGCCTTTCTTTACATTTCCAGAACTCAGCACAGTGCCTGACACACAGGAGATGTTTAGTAAATGCTTGTTGATTCAAGATTTGACACGTACGCCTTTGCAGGTGATGCCCTTATCCAAGGGTCCAAGACTTGTAATATCATCAAATTGACTGTGGAATTCTTCTAATTATTCAGAGGGATTCTTTGATCACTACCCCACCCCTTTATACCATGAACCTGAAGGAAGAAGTATAGTATAAAAAATGTGCCTAAAGATTAAAGAGGGGGAAAACGGAAGAGATAGGGTGGTGTACATAAACTACAAATCACCAAGTCGTCTGTGATAAATCAGAGAGGCAAATGTCAAAGTGGACGGAAAGTGGAGAAGGGGGAGGAGTTGATGGACATCAACTACCTGAATACATGATAGAATATAAAAGCATGTAGGCTCCTTGAGGACAGGGCCTCTTTGAACTTCTGTAACCTCAAGGTCTAGTACAGTGCCTGGCACGTGGTAAAGACTTAATAGATGCTTTTTTTAATTATTTTTTAGGTGATTGGGGTTAAGTGACTTGCCTAGGATCACGCAGCTAGTAAGTATCTGAGGCTGGATTTGAATTCAGGACCTCCTGATTCCAGGGCTGGTGCTCCATCCACTGTGCCATCTAGCAGATGCTTATTGAATTAAATTTGATGATGGAAGTCTCTGCTAGCTGATTTTTCAGAGATACTAAAAGTAGGGAGTGTATCATTAGGAAAGATCCTTGCAGACAAAAATATAACCCTGGAGTAGAGGGAAGAGATTTTTGGAAGGGCCAAAGGAGGGTGAACACACTGATCCATGAATTATCCTTGTTACCATGGAGGGGCCAAAGACAAAAACCCCAGATCCAGACTTATTGTACTTAAACCTCTCTTTACCTAAAGCTAACTTTTCTCTTCATCATGAATTTTCCTTTCCTTCCTAACTTTTTTCTTAGTCCAGGATAAATGTCAGCAATTATTTCCTCCATCTTGCTTGGGACTGGGTATGCAAAAGACTTTATTTTTCCCACCACAGAAAATAAATAAGATAGGAAGAATCCACAGAAGCCAGTGAATAAATTCAAAAAGAAAGTGTATTTCAATAGCACTCTCCTCCCTTTCCCCCACTTCTAATTTTCTCCTTCTTTGTTATCATCCCTGGTGCAGCCAGAAGAAAACTGGCTTTGGAATCAGAATGCTGACTATACCTGCGACCCTGCAGAAGTCACATTACTTCTCAACCTGTTTCCTCATATGTAAAATAAGGGAGGTGGGGTGGCGGGTCTCTGGGGTTCCTTTGAGCTCTCTGTTAGGAGAATGCTCTGGCCCACTCGCCCAGGACCAAGCTACTGCGCCTCTATCCCTTATCCCCAGAGTCCTCCTTGAATATTAACCCTTCTATTCGATCTCAGTATCTCAGCTCTCGTCTATGCGTTCTTTCAATCAATTAATGAGCATTTACTATGGATTGAGCATTGTACTTGGCTACAAAAGAAGCCGTGCCAGCCCATAAGGAGCTTGCATTCTAACTACTCAGTGCCCCCCTAGCCCTCGCCTGCCTGAGGAGGTGGGGAGGAGGTGAGGAAACGCGTCCCAAAGAGGAGCAAACGCACCTTCTAAGGCATGCGGCTAGAGAGGATCTACACCCAGATCCTTGACACCCACTACCAGTTTTAGTTGGATGTAAAGAAATGTCCCCTCCCCTTTCAAAAGAAAAGAAAAGAAAAAAAGAAAGTAAGCCCACGTTATAGGTGAGGTTTCTTTAAGTGGTCAAACTCCAACTTCGCTCCCTTCCCCCCACCCGCACCCCCCGAGTTCTATTGCCCCTATTCGGCTTTGGAATGTGACGAGGTTAGGATTCTGATTATAGGTCATTTTGTTAGTTCCCACTGGCTCATGGTCCGGTCCCATCTCCTGAGGCCAAGGCTCTTTCCCGAGTCTCCTTCCCCAATAGAAAACTGTAACTTCAAAGTTAACATGACTACCCAAGCCCTGACACCGGAACAAAAGAAGGACCTAACTGAAATTGTTAAACGGCTGATCGCTCCGGGCAAGGGAGTTCTGGTCTTAGATGAGTCCCTCTGTACTATGACTAAGCGCTTTTCATGTTTAGGCATTGAGAACACGGAAGAAAACAGGCGCTGCTTTCGCCAGCTGTTTGTGACCACCGATGATGAAATAAGCAACTACATCGGAGGTGTGATCCTATCCCATGAGACATTCTACCAAAAGTGTGATGATGGCCGGCCTTTCCCAGACGTCCTCAAGTGCAAGAATATTGTTGTGGGCATTAAGGTGGACAGGGGTGTCGTACCCCTGGCAGGAACCAATAATGAAACTACCACCCAAGGGCTGGATGGCCTGGCTGAGCGCTGTGCCCAGTACAAGAAGGATGGAGCTGACTTTGCCAAGTGGCGTTGCGTACTGAAGATTGGGGAGAATACACCCTCTCCTCTTGCCATTTGGGAAAATGCTAATGTGCTGGGTCGGTATGCCAGTGTTTGCCAGCAGAATGGCCTGGTACCCTTCATTGTGCCAGACATCCTCTCTGAAGGAAGTCATAACCTGAAGCAATCTCAATTTATTGTGGAGAAGGTTTTGGCTTCTGTATTCAAGGCTCTGAATGACCACCATATTTTCCTTGAAGGGACTGTGCTTCAACCCAATATGGTAGTGCCAGGCTACGACTGTTGCCAGAAGTATTGCCCTGAGGAAATTGCAATATCAACTATAACAGCTTTCCGCAATACTGTGCCCCCTGCAGTACCTGGTGTGGCCTTCATGTCTGGAGGCCAGAGTGAGGAGGACTCCACTGTACTACTCAATGCACTCAACAAATGTTCCCTACCCAAGTCATGGATCCTGACCTTTTCTTACGGTCGACCTCTACAGACATCTGCTGCCAAAATCTGGGGAGGGAAGGAGTGCAACGTCAAGATGGCCCAGCAAGAGTACCTCAAACGGGCCAAGGCCTTCGGCCATGCCAGTGAAGGCAAGTATTGCCCACCCAGTAGTGCAAGGGTTTCACACACCAATGAGTCACTCTTCATCTCCGTCTACATCTCTAACAGTCCCAATATCAAGCCCTAAATCAGAACCTTCCACTTGAGTGGGCCCCAGTAAGGGAAAGCTACCCAACATACGTCTTCCGTGAGCAGAGACTGGGATCCAAACCTTGGTGTGAACCTCTCCCATCACTCTTTCTAACTTATGCCTTGTCATAGCTCTGCATGAACCTAGTGTCTTCTTTGCAATCCACCTTCACCAATAAGCAACTATTTAACACCAACAAGAAAAATAAAAATAAAAGCAGAGCAAGTGATAAATCCCTGATTTGCATTATTGGTCATTTCATCCTGCAGAAGTTGAATGACAATTCTGGACCTAAACTGGCTAAAGTGGAAATAATAGGAATCTTGGGAGTCTGAGGATGTGTCATTTTAGAATTCCTGATAGGTAAGAGGGGAATACTAGGTATAATCCAATTTGTACCTTAGACTTAAGTAGAGTACATTTCAAAGAGTTCAGAAATAGAATATGCAAAATCCTATGACCTGAACCTCTAAAAGGGAAGTCAGCCTATGAAGTAAGGGCATTTTGAGTTCTCAAAAATGAAATTCTGGAGGTGAAGTCACAATTGATTCCAGGGAGAAAGACTTGAGGGAAGGTCTCTAAACAGGCCAGTATAGATGCACTGGATACTCACCAATGAGCTCAGATTTTTAAAAGATGTGTACAAGGGACAGAATGGAGAGCAGGGTATCAGAGAATATCTTTTTTTTATTATTTGTATCTATAAATAATTAAAATAATGTCAGGAAGTCCAAAACTTATTATTATCTGAGGATTGAGATAAATGATCAAAACAACCAAAAAGAGCTTTTTAACTGTTATGTTGAGTACAAGAGGAAGATCAAGGAAGGGAGAAGTAACCTTCTCAGAGTGGGTGTGAATATGATCATGAAGACAGACCTACACAAATCCCTATTTTACTCTATTTCCTGTACCAAGGAAAAGGCCCTTCAGACTGAGGAGGAAATAGTTAATAGAAAACTGGACTTCAGGTAAATAAGGAAATGTTAAGAGAACACTTCAAATAACAAAGTCACTTGTAAAGGAAATGGGTCAGAGGGTTGTCTAAGAATGTAAGGTTGGGGGTACATGATTTACTGGTAAGTTTAGGGAATCATGATGACTATGAGAGATGTGATAGGTAATTTAATATTCAAAAATGAGAGTGGGAGGTAGATATGTTAAACTATGAAGTATGATTTTCTAGTAAAATTTTAGAATGAGTTATTTTAAAATCAGGTTTTATGAAATCATGGAAAGGAAAGAGCGGAACCGCATGAACCAGCATGAGTTCATTAGGACTAAGTCATACTAAACCAATCTCATTGCTTTGTTCAACAGAATACCAGACCAGTAAACCAGAGAAATTTGGGGGGCATAGTATCTCTGGATTTCGGGAAGGCATTCATCAATCTTTCATGATATACTTTTAAACAAATCAACATTTTTATCAATGACTTGAATGAAGATAGAAGGCAAGCTTTTCCAGTTTGTGGGTAAAAAGAAATTGGCATTATCTAATACATTTGAAGACAAAATTTGGATTAAAAAAAACTTAAAATTATATAGCTGAAGGTCATAGTATCATAGATTTAGAGCCAGAAGGAAGCTTAGAGACCATCTAGTGCAATTCCCTTATTTTACAGGGGAGAAACTTCATATCCATGGAGGTTGAAAGTCTTGCCCAAGACCACATAAGTACTAAAAACGAGTGGTAGATTTGAGCTCACAATCTCTGACTCTAGGATCATTGGTTTTTTCCACTGTACCACTGAAGCATAAAAGAAGGAGCTAGAAGAAAACTGACAAGGATAAGTTGAAGTTCTCCTCTTGGGTTCAAATTAATCAACCATGTAAGTAGAAGATAAAGAGATAGTAGCAAAAATAATTCATGTGGGAAAAAATATAGATATTCTAGTGGACAACAAATAAGAGGGGTCAGAAGTGTGGTGTGGTAACCATAAAACCTAATGCAATATCAGATTGCGCTAAAAGAAATGCGCTCTCAGAATAAAAAAGTTGGTGATTTCATTGACCTCTTCTAATCATCAGACCACATCTAGAATCACGTATATAGTTCAAGATATCATATTTTAGAAGGGATACTGGACAAACTAGAATGTGGCTGGATGAACTTGACCAAAATAGTGAGGGAGACATAAAAGCGCCACCATATAAAGCTTAGTTTATAGAACTGAGGGCATTTAGCCTAGAGAAGAAAAGACATGAGATGCACTATCATTGTCTTCAAATATTTGAGGGGCTCTTATATAGAAAAAGGATTAGACAAATTTGTTCTATTTGGCAGGAGAAGGGAGGATCTTGGCCAATGGATGGGAGTTACTTAGTTGAAAATTCCAATCTGATATAAATAACATCTTAAAAATTAAAGGTGTTAGGGGGTACAACCAAGATGGCAGAGTAAAGACAAGGACTTATCTGAGCTCTCCCAAATTCCTCTCCAAACAACCTTAAAATAAATGCCTCCGAATGAATTCTAGAGTGGCAGAATCAACAAAAGAATGAGGAGAAAAACTTTTCCAGCCCAAGATGACTAGTTGGTCACCAGGAAGAGTCTGTCTCACTGGGGTGAGTGTGGAATGCAGCCCAGCTCAGGCTGAGCCCCAGCAAGGCAGCAGCAGGCTTTGGGGGCAACTGAATAATCAGCTTCAGCTCCTGGAGCTCTCAACTCCCAGATGGTAAGGGGATCAGACAACTGATCAGAAGATTACAGGAGACTCTTTACTGGCACTGCATGCAGGACTCTGTGGCACTGACCCTACACAGTTCCAGGTTGTAGCACCAGGGTGAGGAGGAGCAGTAGCGCACTAGACCGTGTGTCAACAGGGGAGCCTGATAATACTTCCAGTATGGAGAAGAGTGTTTGTATAGGCCAGGAGAGCAGTGACCACACTTCTCCTTAGATCATACCACCCAGGAAGAACTGAAAACTTACAGACCCCTAGAACTAACTTGGAACAGTGCCCCCTCCACCCTGGTAACAGAGCTCAACTTAAACATAAAGTTAAAAATCAAGAAGTAGGCTGGGGAAATGAGCAAACAACAGCAACAAAAAAAGAATCTGACTATAGAAAGTTACTATGGTGACAGGTAAGCTCAAAGCACAAACTCTGAAGATGACAAAAAAGTCAAAGCAACTACATTCAGAGCCTCGAAAAAGAAAAAATGTGAACTGATCTCAGGCCCAAAAAAATATTCTTGGAAGACCTCAAAAAAGATTTGAAAAATCAGAGAAGTAGATTAAAAATTGGGGAAAAAAAAGAAATGAGAGTGATACAAGAAAATAATGAAAAAAGAGTCAACCACTTAGTGAAAGAAGGCATAAAAATTACTGAAGAAAATAGCACATTAAAAATGGAATTGGCAAAATGATAAAAGGGGCACAAAAATCCACTGAAGAGAAGAACTACTTTCAAAGCAGAATTGGCAAAATGGAAAAAGAGGTACAAAAGCTCACTGAAAAAAAAATTACAAATTAGAATTGGGCAAATGGAAGCTTGATGCCTCCATGAGACATCAAAAAACAATAAAACAATAAATAAAACAATAAAAAATAAAAATAGAAAAATAGAAAACAATGTGAAATATCTCATTGGAAAAACAACTCGCCTGGAAAATAAATCCAGGAGAGAGAATTTAAGAATTATTGGACTACCTAAAAGTCATGATACAAAAAAAAGAGCCTAGACATCCTATTTCAAGAAATCATCAAGTAAAACTGACCTGATATCCTAGAACCAGACGGTTAAATAAACATTGAAAGAATCCACCCATCACCTTCTGCAAGAGATCTCAAAATGAAAATTCCCAGGAATATTATAGCCAACATCAGAGCTCTTATATCAAGGAGAAAATATTGCAATAAGTCAGAAAGAAATAATTCAAATATCATGGAGCCACAGTCAGGATAGCACAAGATTTAGCAGCTTCTACATTAAAAGATCGACATGCTTCGAATATGATATTGTGTAAGGCAAAGGAGCTAAGATTACAATCAAGAATCACCTACCCAGCAAAACTGAAAATAATCCTTGGGGGAGGGGGGGTGCAGAATGGACATTTAATAAAATACAGGACTTTCAAGCATTCCTGATGAAAAGACCAGAGCTGAATAGAAAATTTGACTTTCAAATATGACATAAAAAAATATAAAAAGGTAAACAGAAAAAAGAAATTATAAGACATTCAATAAGGTTGAACTGTTTATACTACCACAGGGAAAGAGGATACTTGTAACACCTAAAAACTTTATATACTATTATTAGGGTATATGAGTATACATAGACGGCATGTGTGTGAGCTGAATCTGATGGGATGGTATCTAAACAAAATAAAATTAAGGGGTAAGAAAGAGGGATGCACTAGAATAAGAGGGAAGGAAGAAATAGAATGGGATAAATTATCTCACATAAAAGAGACATGAAAGAGTTTTTATAATAGAGGGGAAATGGGGGTGTGTGGGGTGGACAATGCTTGAACCTTACTCTCACTGGAATTGGTTAAAAGAGGAAATAACATACATACTCAGTTGGGTATAGAAATCAAAGCTAATGATCACCATATGTAAAAAATGTTCTAAATCATTATTGATTAGAGAAATGCAAATTAAAACAACTAAGATGCCACCTCACACCAATCAGATTGGCTAATTTGACAGAAAAGGATATATGTTGCAGAAGATGTGGGAAAATAAGGATACTAAAGCAATGTTGGTGGAGTTGTTTGTTGGAGAGCCAACCATTCTGGAGACTGATTTGGAACTATGCCTAAAGCGTTATAAAACCAGGCATACCTTTGATCTAGCAATACCACAACTAGATCTGTATCCCAAAGAGATGAAAAAAGGATTTATATGTACAAAAATATTTACAGCAGCTCTTTTTGTGGTGACAAAGAATTGGACATTGAGGAACTGCCCATCAGTTGCAGAATGGCTGAACAAGTTGTGGTATATGAATGTAATAGGATACTATTGTTCCATGAGAAGTGATGAGCAGATGAACTTCAGAAAAACTTGAAAAGACTTACTTATATGAATTGCTGCAAAATGAAGTGAGCAGAACCAGGAAAACAATGTAAACAGTAACAATAATGTTATATGAAAATCAACAGTGAATGACTTAGCTATTCTCAGCAATACGATGATTCAAGACAATTCTGAAGGACTTATGATAAAAAATCCTATTCACCTCCAGAGACAAAACTGATGAACTCTGAGTGCTGATCGAAGCATACTTTTAAATTTTCTTTACCTTTCTTAACTTTGTTGCTGGGCTGGATGGGGTGTTATTTTTTGGTCTGTATTTTCTTTTGCGACATGATTAATATGGAAATATGTTTTGCATGACTACACATATATAACCTATATCTTGTCTTTTCAATGAGATGAGAGGAGAGGGATGGAGAGAGAGAATTTGGAACTCAAAAATCTTTTTTAAAATTAATATTAAAATTGTTTTTACATGTACTTGGAAAAATATAATTTTGTAATTAAGGCTATCTGAAAAAATCAGATGAGCTGCCTTCAGTAGGTAGGAGTTTCAGATTCCCTATCCCTAGAGATTGTGTGTGTGTGTGTGTGTGTGTGTGTGTGAGAGAGAGAGAGAGAGAGAGAGAGAGAGAGAGAGAGCAGGTGCCTACCACCTTATTGGATACATGACAGAAAAGATCTGCTTTGGGTAGGGGATAGAATTGACTTTTGAGATCCCTTCCAACTCTAAATCATAGAATTCTAGGATCTATGAGTACTGACCTCTGGATATCAATTTCCTTCTCTAAAATGAAAATGATAAAAACCTACCCATACTCAAAAGTTTTTAGATCTTTATTGGGGGACATGGTTGGTTAGGGTTAGATAAATTAAAGCCATCATCATTACTTTGAAGAAAGAAATCTAAAGGAATAGTTGGTGGGACAAACCTTTTCATTTTTGCTTTCTTCCATCCCCTGATCTTTACAGATTTCCCTATCT